CGGAAGCTGCCAGCCACCCAAACCCCAGAACTGCACCACGGAAGCTGCCAGCCACCCAAACCCCAGAACTGCACCACGGAAGCTGCCAGCCACCCGAACCCAGAACTGCACCACGGAAGCTGCCAGCCACCTGAACCCCAGAACTGCACCACGGAAGCTGCCAGCCACCTGAACCCTAGAACTGCACCACGGAAGCTGCCAACCACCTGAACCCCAGAACTGCACCACGGAAGCTGCCAGCCACCCGAACCCAGAACTGCACCAGACACGCTGCCAGCCACCTGAACCCCAGAACTTCATCAGACGCTGCCAGCCACTGGAACCCCGGAACTGCACCAGGGATGCTGCCAGCCACCCAAACCCCAGAACTCCTGGGGTGTACCCCTCTCTCAGCCTCTTTGTCCTATAGCTCAGTGGTCCCAACATTTTCTGCCCCAGGGACCAGTGTCATGGAAGACCATTTTTCCACGGATTCGGGTGGGGGAAATGAAACTTTCACCCCAGATTACCGGGTGTTAGATTCTCATAAGGACACCCTCCTAGATCCCTCCCATGCGCAGTTCACAATAGGGTTCTCGAACCTATGAGAATCTGCCGCTGCCACTGACCTGGCAGGAGGTGGAATTCAGGCGGGAATGCTCGCCCCGCCACTCACCTCTTGCCTTGCAGCCAGGTTACCTGATTTGCTGGCCAGGACACCTACTGTTGGCTTCCCAGCCTCCTGACCACAGCACTTCCCGACCCCTCACCCCCAGTCCCCAGCCCTGGGTTCTGGGGAGAAGAACTGGGCATGGGGAGCCGGCCCAGCCACTGTGACCCATTGACCCATCTGGAGAGAACAGGTTCTCCACAGCCTCAGCGAGGGTCTGCAGCTGTCTCCGAGACCATGAAGGCTACCCCTCCTCTCCTTGGGCTGCCTTGAAAAGAAACTGTTAAAACGTGGACTCCCCAACTCTTAGAATTCCACTGTCCTCAGAATTTGAGGAATTCCAAAATTCCTCAAACTGGAAGTGGCCTCAGAGCTCAGGCCAGATTGTGCCTCTGCTCAAAGCCCCCAGGGGCAAGGTCTCTCCTGCTGGCCTTGGACGTCCGTCCAGGTGAGGCTCTGGGGGGCAGCTGGGAGGCCCAGGAGCCCGGCCAGGGCAGCGTCCTCAGCTGCTCTTTTCTGCCTTTGCAGAAGCCCCTGCCCCATTTGCCTGGGGCTTCACAAAGCGTGCTGGGAGAAACTTCCTGGCAGGAAATGGTTTCTTCTGCATCTAGCACCAAGACTCCCACAGGCCATGCAGCAAAGGGACAGCAAGGGACAGCACTCTCCCCGCCCTGACCCCAGACCAGCTAAGGGGCTTCGTCGGCCCCATAGCAACACAGATTAGGGCCCGATTCTGGTACTTCTCTGCCTCCCCTACCGGCATCCCTCCAACCAGCAAGGTTCCAGAAATGAAGGCCCCATCCTGGGGCATGGAGCCGTGCCTGTGCCCCTGATCAGCTCCTCACCAGGAGCCCTTCTGGGTGGGGGACACACTTCCTGAGCCCTGTCTCGGTCCCTCCTTGTCTTTCAGAGAATGCAGCCAGGGAGGGCAGCAGCTGTGCTGGTCTGCTATCTCAGGAAGAGGGGCTCAGGCCTCTCCATCCCAGTGTCCTGGGAAAGCACCTGGATGTGCAGGGACCTCTGCCTCCTGCCCCAACATCAGAGACAGCCCAGAACTCTCTCTTGTTCCCTCAAAAGCAAAGGTGACCCTGCCCACCCCACACTGTGGGCACAAGCCAGGATCGCTGGCAACAGGCAGCCAGAGGGCTGAGGGTTTCCCTCGGGTCTGGTGCCAGGTGGTGTGTGGGGAGGAGGGGTTGCTGGGGAAGGTCCCCCACCACAGACAGCAACAGGGCCATGGTCCCCCACCCTGTCCTCCCAGGCTCAGTTCCTCAGGACACAACAGGGAGCAGAAGGTAGCCAGGTCAAACCCCAGGGCACTTCCTGGCCTCCGGGGAGGCTGCTTGGAAGGAGGGTGTGGACCCTGCCCAGCAGATGACACGATTCATTTATTCATTCAAAGACGGTTGCCAGCGCCTTTCACACCAGTCCGGCAGGACTGGATGAGGGTGACCTGCCCTTCCCTTCCCAGGCCTCCACCCTCCCAGCAGGAATCTCACTGAGCCACAGCCGGATGGTAGAAAAGTGAACTGGCCAAATTTATTTGCGGTGGGCGTATCAATGCAAAAACAAGATATCAAGACTATAAAATATGTGGTTACAAAGAATCAGCGAAATAAATACATAGATATTAGATAGTCCAATAACTTAAGGCGCCCGTGCTGCGGGGCGAGGATCCGCGCGACCGGCAAGGCGTTCTGCTGCTGCGGGGTTGGTGGGCGCGGGCTGCGTCGGGACCCCGGTCCGGCTCGTCCACTGTGCGGCCCTGTGGGAAAAGGACTGGGTCAGGGAGCTGCGCCAGGGCCGGTCGGGGTCCAGCCTGAGAGGCCCCGAGACCCCGGCGCGAGGGGAGCAGAGCGATCGCGGGGCGCCGGGTCCCGAAAGAGCTGCAGCGCCCCGCCCCGCCCCCCGCCCCGCCGTCGGGCGTGGAAGTGGCTTTTCCCGAAGGCCCCGGACCCGGCTATCCGGCGCGGGCCGGCACTCACCGCGGCGGGCTCATGGCGTGCGGGGCTGGGGCTGCGGGGAGGGGTCCGAGGGCTCCGCGGCCTCGGCGGGTGCGGCGGGTGCGGCGGGCGCGGGGCGCTCCTGGCGGCTGCGAAAGCCCTGCAGGGCGCGGCGGTTCTGGAAATCGATGAGCGCCAGCGCGATGGCCGCGTTCCAGCAGCTCTCGCCCGCGCAGCGGAAGTCGATCTCCTTGCGGTCCGTGGTGACGATCGTGAAGTACACGTACTTGCCCGTGCGCTCCACGCAGTCCACCTTCAGCAGCGAGTGGAAGCGCAGCTCCTTGGGGCGCGCGCGGGGGCTGGCGGGGAACAGGCTCAGGCGGTCGGAGGTGAGCACGCCGCGCTTCTTCTTCCAGAGCTGGAAGAGGCTGTCGCTGCGCTTCTCCAGCTCGCCCTCGCGCAGCACCTCGTCCGGGGACTTCATGGCTGGCCGGGTTCGAGACTGGGGGCGGCAACACGGCGGCGACGAGGGCGGTGGCGGCGCCGGCTCAGCGCCTCGTGGCCCCGGCGCGGCCTTTATAGCGCCCCTCCCCGCCCCGCCCCGTCGGGCCCGCCCCGGCCCGCCCCGGCCCTCGAGCCACCGCGCCCACCTGCGCCCGCGCGCCCCGGGGCCATCTCCTCCCCAGCCAGTCCGTGCCCGCACGTCGCGTCCGTGCCCGCACGTCGCGTCCGCGCCATGGTCAGTTCCTGGCCGCCCCCTCCGGTCTCAGAAGCCCGCGCTCCTCTTGCCCCCGATGCCCCAGCGGTCCGACCCCGTGGCGTGACGTGAGGTCCCGCCCCGCCCGGGCGCTCGCCCGCACCGTCTCGCAGGCGGGCCCCGCGGAGGAATGCGCTGCAGCCAGCCCTGCCCGCGGTGACTCACGCTGGGGAGCCCCAGGAAGCACCCGCGGACCCGGGGTCGGCCCACGGTGGGGAGACAGCAGGGACCAGAACCCCACCCTCCATGCACCCGAGGGCCAGCCCTGCCGTTCTAGGGCTCCTGGGGCAGAAGGAGGGTCGAGACCCCCTTCCTTCCTCTCAAGCCCTGTCCGTTCCGTCCCCTTGGGGCGGGGGCGGGGGGGAGCGGAGGGGTCTTCCCATAGACCCTCTGCGGAACCAGGCGCCCAGCTTGCCACCCACGGGCTGCGCCCTGAACGACCTCCTCTCTCAGCCTCGGTTTTCCCTTCTGTGAAATGGGAACAGTAGCCTCTGCTGGGTTAGGTAACACGTAGAAAGGGCTGGAACAGCAACCCATAAAGCTCGGTCAATGGGAGGGGAAGAGGAAGGCCGTTCTCCTCCCTGCGCCCTCGTGGTGTCCCGAACTGGGGGACCGACTGCTCCGACCGCGCCCACGACCTGGACCGGAGAGTAGTCCCGGGAGCCGAGGGGTCCGGACCAGGTCGCGACGCCGGCTCTCTGGGCTCAGCCTGGGGGCGAGGGTCGGCGGGGGCGGCTGAGTCATCGCTTTCCAGCTGGGTAGACGGGCGTTTTATTTACCCTCTTCCTTTAAAGGGTTTAATAGACAGGAAGCGAAAGCCGGCTCTTCCTGGGTTCCCAGGGGTGGGGGTGGAGCCGGCCGAGAGGACCCCGGGACCCCGGCTGCTCCAGGGCCGCCACCTCCCCGCGCCCCCCGCCCCAGCTCTGCCCTGGGAAGGTTACAGCAGGAAGTCCCGCCTCTGGGGTCGGAATTGGTCTCAATGGCGGAGCCCACGCAAAATGAAAACGAGTAAAATTTACTTAAAATGTCAAGACAGTGGCCCAGACCTGGGACCAGCCCTGCCTCTACTGGCCCTTCAGAGTCGCTGTGAGGGATAAAGAGGCAGCTGGCTCAGAGGAGCTCCCGGACCAGGTGCTGGGAATGGCATGCAGGTGGCAGCTGCCCGGTGGTCCCACCTGTGTGGCCAGGGGACCTGGCTGTGGGCAGGGGCGTTGTGTGGAAGGGCAGCGCCGGCAGAGGGCAGGGTTGGGCTGTGCCAGGCACTTCCCTTCCTCCCAGCCCCACCTTGGAGAGACACCTGCCTGAGACCTGCAGGTCAACACTGCCCCCTACCTGACACCTGTCCTTCAGCGGGGCTGGGATCCTGTGGAGTGAGGGAGCAGCAGGATGGGCGGGCAGGTGAGGGGAGACTGGTTTTCGGCGGGGAGAGGGGGTTCCAGCATTGGTCGGGAGAGGCTGCAGGAGGGATTCGGACTCTGGTGTTTCTTCTTTCGCTGCTGCAGGGCGCTGGGCTGCTGGGCAGTGTGACCTGGGCAAGAGCCCTTTGGGCTGTGGAAGAGCAGAAGCAGCCAGCAGCAGAGTGATCTGTCACTGCCCGAAGGAGCCACCATGACTTGCGGGTACCCATAGGTGCCTGGAATACCCCCAGGCCCAAAAGCCTGCCCATCCCACCCAGGCGCCAGCCTGTGGAACCTCGGCTCCAGGAAAACCCCCAACACTCAGCCTTGCTTAAGCACCTATTGTGTGCCTGCAGGCCTGGCTGGTGCTTGGTCCCCAAAGGAGGGAAAGGAGTCCCTCTAACCCTCAAAGGCACAGCATGTACATGAGGATGGGAATGGGGGGTCAGGGTTACTGGGGGCCGAGAGGACAGCTGGGAGGACACTGTGGGGAGGGTGTGCCCTGGAAGGTCTCCAAGGAGACCTTGAAGGGCCAGTCGTGCCTGCATGCCACCACTGTGCCCAGCCTCCACCTAACCCAGAGAGCCCCTCAAAGTGAGCATTCCAGCCCCTGCTCCACAGAGGAAGAAACTGGTTCAAGATGCAGAGGCCTTGGGGGAGGGACAGAGGACAGGCAGGAGCAGACCAGAGGCTAGGAGAAATGAGGGGGAGGACACGGGTTTGGAAACCAGGGGAGGCCAGGTGAGGTGAGCTCTCCAGCCCCGCCCAGCTCCTCTCTTGCCTGCACCCCAGTGGCCCTCTCAGGGGAGGTTGGGAAACTCAGTCCCCCGAGGGCAGGACTTGCAACCCAGGGTGGTGCTCCAGCAGGTGGGGCAGGAGCTGGGAGGCCAGGAGGTGGGGGTGGGCAGCTTCAATTCAGAGGCCCCGCCCTCCTGGCCTCCCTAGGGGGCTTCCCGCCCATACAGCCCCTCTCTGCTAGTCCCTTCACGGATGATGTCAATACCTGGGGGCTGTGGGGGTGGATGGCCCTTTGGAAGCTGCTGGAAATCAGGTCCAAGCCCTGGAGGGGAGCAGATGGCCAAGGCCAGGCCTCCCCAGGCAGCTTCTCTGCCCATGGTCCCTGCCCCAGGGGCTCAATCGTAGTGGCCCTGGCCTCCCCAGCAGCTGCTAGACACCCTGGGACCCTGCTTGGCCGAACTAGCTGGGCCTGGTTGCGAATGTGGGCGCTGGAGAGAGCCAGCTCTGAGCCCGACCAGCCCTGGACCAGCAGATGACTTCAGGAGCCCCCAGGGTGTCTGTATGTTCATGGGCAAAAATAATCTACAGCCTCAGGAGGTGAGAGGGGCTTGGAGGAGACCATGGCCACTTGGCAGGTATTTGCAGGCAGGGGCCAGAGCCAGCTCCCGGCTGCCCCTGTTCTCTCTGCGCCCACCGTCCACCCGAGGGCTTGATCACCATCACTCACACTGCCCTGTGTCCCTCCGAGCCACCCACCCTCTGCCAGCGCCCCCCAGCCTTCCTCACCTGAGGCCTGAGCCTCACCTGGTCCCACCTTCAGCTGAGTGGTGCCCCCAGGAGGAGCACTGGCCCCAGCTGCAGATGAGGAAAGTTGGCTCAGGGGTGCAGCGACTTGTCGGGGTCACATTGCCAAGGAGTGGCCCTTTCCCTGGCCCCAGAGCAGGCCTGCCTGAGGGTGGCCTCTGGAAGATGAGGACTGTGGTGCCCACTTCCTGGGATGGGGTGGGGGGAGGCAACAGAGTGCCAGCATGGGCACACCACACGAGGGTCTTCTGAGGAATGTCCCTCCTAGGGCCATTTGGTAGCCAAGAGCCCTTTGATAGCCGGAGCCTTCTCCAGCACGGCAGAGATCGGAACGCGATGTGGGTCCAGCTGCACCCGCATGGGAACTGCATCGTGAGTGGGTTCTGGGCCCCTCACATGCTGCAGACGGAGGAACCATGGGCCGGACAGACACCAGGGCCAGGCGCCCGCAGGGCGGTCAGCGTGGCACTGCCCCATGCAAGCTCTGTGCTGTCGTCTCTGCCTGTTGGGGCTGCTTTCTTGGGTTTGCAGGGAACACGGGGTGGGGGTTTCAGAGAGGTGGTGACTCACTCAGGTCACAAAATGGCCGGTGGGGCCACATCCACCAATGCCCCAATGCTGCAGCGCCCTCTGGCCAGGGGCAGGAAACAGCCCTGATGTTCTGTGACTGCTTCTCAGGATGGGGAGGGGGCTCTGCCTGGAGTTGGTGGCGTCAGGCAGCACCAGTCCAAGCCAGGTTTACTAATATTTATCTGACGGGCCACATCCGAGATTCACGTGGAGCCTGAGCCAAGGGACCCACCCCCAGGCAGGCATTGGTGTGCAGTCCGGGTGCCCAAACATCTGGCCTGGGACACTGGCTGCCCTGTCCAGCTGCCTGGCCCCTTGGCGCCGGAGCCCAGCTGTGTGAGGCTGTCAGCAGCTGGGGCAAGATGCGGGCACCTCTCCGAAACTCCCTGAGTGAGGTCACTTCCTTGTGGTGACGAGGCCGGGCCCTCCAGGCACTTGCCCAACGAGCCTGGCCATCCTGCCAGCCTGTGAGGAAACTGTGTGTCACAGGGCCCGACCCAGGTGCCTGGGGCTCGGCACCGCCCTCTTGTGGGCAGGGTTGCTCAAGGACAGCCTGTGGAAGTGCCCACTGCTCTCCAGTTAGGAAGGCCCACCCCTTGCTCCTCTCACCTCCTCCAGGAAGCCCTCCCAGGGCAAACTCTGAGGCCTGCCTGCTGCCAACCACATACTGCCAGGCCGTGGGTCTCCAAGCCACCACCCACATGAGACTGGGGAGGCTGGGGAAGACCCAGGCTGCCTGGAGCCGCGGCGCCTGAGCAGGGCCCATGCGCCAGGGCCTGTGACTCAGGCCTGCCCTCGATCTGTCTCCTCCCCTCTGCAGCCTGAGGAGTGACAGTGCCCGTGGCAGGACCCACCTGGTTTTCAGGCACCCGCCATCAGCCTACCCTTGACCTGGCGGTGTTTCCTGTTGCTGTGTCTTTCCTGAGCTCTTCTGATGGAGTCTGACAGGCAGGTCCTGCTTTGCAAGGTGTTGGGGACTGAATGAGAAACCCAGAACACCCTTCTCCTTGGCCCCTGATGAGCTCCTATTTATCCCTCAGTACCCTGCTCAGAAGCTGTTATCAGCTACTGTTAGCTTCTGAAATGCAGTGACAATGTTTTATTCTTTGGGACCCCCAGGGACCAGCCCAGGCACTCAGGAAATGATTTGAAAACTGGGAGCTAAAAAAGCATCCTAATGCTGGGCCCAGTGGCTCATGCCTATGATTCCAGCACGTTGGGAGGCCGAGGTAAGCAGGTTGCTTGAGCCCAGAAGTTTGAGACCAGCCTGGGCAACAGAGCAAGACCTCCCATCTCCACACACACACACACACACACA